AGGGGCATCTCATGGGGCCCCCTACTGACCCCGGGCCCTCAGTTTCCAAATGGTCAGTCCACCCCTGGCCAAAAGCAAACATTTCTTATATTAGGATCTCATACCGGCTCCTCGATGTGGCGGCTGCATTCGTTTTCTTTTTAGGCTTCCTTTCTTTTATTCTCACCCGGTGATCCAGCCAGTAAGTCTGTTGGGTTTTTTGTTTTGTTTTTTTCAAAAGAACAAGCTGTCCTGCAGATGTATCAGTTAGAGGGATGAGACCAACCATTCCCCACTGACCGGGGGGGGTTTACAATGATCAGCTCTTATTTCTTGATATATCTCAAAAAGAACAGAAACGGCGACTGTAACGGATTATAACGCGGGGGGCGGAGTTTGGCTTTAATGTGTTCGTGTCTCCTAGATTGTAAGCTCCCAGGATCAGGGCCCTCGCACCCCTCGTGTATCGCATTGTATTGTTCTGTCACATGTTCTGTCCCCCTCTGTAATGTACAGCGCTGAGCCAACTGTCGGCACTTTATAAATACTGGATAATAATCATTATAATAGTGTATCTAAATCTGCTAGTCCGTCTAACACTCCCCTCCCCCCCGAGACTGAGAATGCTGCGCCCCCTGTGCTCCTTCCTCCAGAGTCAGGGAGGCTCTAATACAGGAGGAGGCCAGATCACCAGGTACAAAGAGAAGGAAAAAGCCTAAAAAAAGAAAAGGAATGCGGCCGCCACCTCTGATGACCAGTGAGATGGATTATGGGACATTTCTGGTTTGGGGTTTTAGCCCGCCTTAGCCCGGGTTCACACTGATGCCGTGCGGAATTTGCAGCATGTTTTATGCACCGCATCAGAATCGCCCCCCGGTCATGTGAACCGCTGCGGGGTGTGTATGCTACCAACACCCCAAAAATCGGTCTGCAAAACGGGGTGCCATGTGCAGAAGGTGGGAATACCCGTGCAATCTGATTCTAGTGCCGACCCAAAAAGAAGGGTCCTGCGTGTTCTGGGTGCGGTTAGAGCCATATATAATGTACGACTCCGATCGCACCGCACACAAATCACATGTGATGTGCAGGGAATGCGGGGCGGTTCCTGTGTGAATCACATGGGATGTGCAGGGAATGCGGGGCGGTTCCTGTGTGAATCACATGTGATGTGCAGGGAATGCGGGGCGGTTCCTGTGTGAATCACATGGGATGTGCAGGGAATGCGGGGCGGTTCCTGTGTGAATCACATGGGATGTGCAGGGAATGCGGGGCGGTTCCTGTGTGAATCACATGGGATGTGCAGGGAATGCGGGGCGGTTCCTGTGTGAATCACATGCGATGTGCAGGGAATGCGGGGCGGTTCCGGTGTGAATCACATGGGATGTGCAGGGAATGCGGGGCGGTTCCTGTGTGAATCACATGGGATGTGCAGGGAATGCGGGGCGGTTCCTGTGTGAATCACATGGGATGTGCAGGGAATGCGGGGCGGTTCCTGTGTGAATCACATGCGATGTGCAGGGAATGCGGTGCGGTTCCTGATCACATGATCTGCAGGGAATGCGGTGCGGTTCCTGATCACGTGATTGGTAGGGAATGCGGTGCGGTTCCTGATCACATGTGATCTGCAGGGAATGCGGTGCGGTTCCTGATCACGTGATTGGTAGGGAATGCGGTGCGGTTCCTGATCACGTGATCTGCAGGGAATGTGGTGCGGTTCCTGATCACGTGATCTGCAGGGAATGCGGTGCGGTTCCTGATCACGTGATTGGTAGGGAATGCGGTGCGGTTCCTGATCACATGTGATCTGCAGGGAATGCGGTGCGGTTCCTGATCACGTGATTGGTAGGGAATGCGTTGCGGTTCCTGATCACATGTGATGTGCAGGGAATGCGGTGCTGTTCCTGATCACATGTGATTGGTAGGGAATGCGGTGCGGTTCCTGATCACATGTGATGTGCAGGGAATGCGGTGCTGTTCCTGATCACGTGATTGGTAGGGAATGCGGTGCAGTTCCTGATCACATGTGATCTGCAGGGAATGCGGTGCGGTTCCTGATCACGTGATTGGTAGGGAATGCGGTGCGGTTCCTGATCACATGTGATTGGTAGGGAATGCGGTGCGGTTCCTGATCACATGTGATTCGTAGGGAATGCGGTGCGGTTCCTGATCACATGTGATCGGTAGGGAATGCGGTTCCTGATCACATGTGATCTGCACGGAATGCGGTGCGGTTCCTGATCACATGTGATTGGTAGGGAATGCGGTGCGGTTCCTGATCATATGTGATTGGCAGGGAATGCGGTGCGGTTCCTGTGTGAATCACATGTGATCTGCAGGGAATGTGGTGCGGTTCCTGATCACATGTGATTGGTAGAAAATGCAGTGCGGTTCCTGATCACGTGATTGGCAGGGAATGCGGTGCGGTTCCTAATCACATGTGATTGGCAGGGAATGCGGTGCAGTTCCTGGTCACCTGTGATTGGCAGGGAATGCGGTTCCTGATCACGTGTGATGTGCAGGGAATGCGGTGCGGTTCCTGGTCACGTGTGATTGGCAGGGAATGTGGTGCGGTTCCTGATCACGTGTGATGTGCAGGGAATGCGGTGTGGTTCCTGGTCACGTGTGATTGGCAGGGAATGCGGTGCGGTTCCTGGTCACGTGTGATTGGCAGGGAATGTGGGGCGGTTCCTGTGTGAATCACATGGGATGTGCAGGGAATGTGGTGTGGTTCCTGGTCACGTGTGATTGGCAGGGAATGCGGTGCGGTTCCTGGTCACGTGTGATTGGCAGGGAATGTGGTGCGGTTCCTAATCACGTGTGATGTGCAGGGAATGCGGTGTGGTTCCTGGTCACGTGTGATTGGCAGGGAATGCGGGGCGGTTCCTGTGTGAATCACATGGGATGTGCAGGGAATGTGGTGTGGTTCCTGGTCACGTGTGATTGGCAGGGAATGCGGTGCGGTTCCTGGTCACGTGTGATTGGCAGGGAATGTGGTGCGGTTCCTGGTCACGTGTGATTGGCAGGGAATACGGTGCGGTTCCTGGTCACGTGTGATTGGCAGGGAATGCGGTGCGGTTCCTGGTCACGTGTGATTGGCAGGGAATGTGGTGCGGTTTCTGTGTGAATCACGTGATCTGCAGGGAATGCGGTGCGGTTCCTGATCACACGTGATATACCGCACTGCATGTATGTGAACACGGGCTGAATGTTTTGTTACAGAAAATCTGCGCTCAGCAAACTTCTGCTCTAATATCTGTGACAATACAAATGTAGAATTGCCGCCATTTTATTCTCCAGGGTCTGGGCTTGCAGAACACAGATCATGTGAGGGGGGGGGGGGGACAGATCATGTGAGGGGGGGACATATCATGTGGGGGGGGGGACAGATCATGGGGCAGGAGGGACAGATCATGTGGTTGGGGGCAGATCATGGGGGGGGGGACAGATCATGGGGCAGGAGGGACAGATCATGTGGGGGGGGGACAGATCATGGGGCGGGGGGGGGACAGATCATGGGGCAGGATGAACAGATCATGTGGGGGGGGGCAGATCATGGGGTGGGGGGGGACAGATCATGGGGTGGGGCAGATTGTGGGGCAGGAGGGACAGATCATGTGGGGGGGAACAGATCATGGGGTGGGGGTATAAAGATCATGGGGTGGGGGGGGGACAGATCACGTGGGGGGGGAACAGATCATGGGCTGGGGGGAGACAGATCATGTGGGGGGGGGAGACAGATCATGTGTGGGGTTGACAGATCATGGGACAGGGGGGACAGATCATGGGGTGGGGGGGGACAGATTATGGGGCAGGAGGGACAGATCATGGGGTGGGGGGGGGGACAGATTATGGGGCAGGAGGGACAGATCATGGGGTGGGGGGGGGACAGATTATGGGGCAGGAGGGACAGATCATGTGGGGGGGACAGATTATGGGGCAGGAGGGACAGATCATGTGGGGGGGACAGATCATGGGGTGGGGGGGGGGACAGATTATGGGGCAGGAGGGACAGATCATGTGGGGGGGGGACAGATCATGGGGTGGGGGGGGGACAGATCATGTGGGGGGGACAGATCATGGGGTGGGGGGGGACAGATCATGTGGGGGGGACAGATCATGGGGTGGGGGGGGGCAGAGATTATGGGGCAGGAGGGGGACAGATCATGTGGGGGGGGACAGATTATGGGGCAGGAGGGACAGATCATGGGGTGGGGGGGGACAGATTATGGGGCAGGAGGGACAGATCATGGGGTGGGGGGGGGACAGATTATGGGGCAGGAGGGACAGATCATGTGGGGGGGACAGATTATGGGGCAGGAGGGACAGATCATGTGGGGGGGACAGATCATGGGGTGGGGGGGGGGACAGATTATGGGGCAGGAGGGACAGATCATGTGGGGGGGGGACAGATCATGGGGTGGGGGGGACAGATCATGTGGGGGGGACAGATCATGGGGTGGGGGGGGGACAGATCATGTGGGGGGGACAGATCATGGGGTGGGGGGGGGCAGATTATGGGGCAGGAGGGACAGATCATGTGGGGGGGACAGATTATGGGGCAGGAGGGACAGATCATGTGGGGGGGGACAGATCATGGGGTGGGGGGATACAGATCATGTGGGGGGGTACAGATCATGGGGTGGGGGGGACGGATCATGGGGTGGGGGGATACAGATCATGTGGGGGGGTACAGATCATGGGGTGGGGGGGACGGATCATGGGGCGGGGGGGGGACTAATTTTCATGCCTAAAATGATTTTTTTTTAAAAATGCAAAAATATCTGCGGCAGGGAAAGGGTTGGAGAGTTCCCATGGCATGGAGAAGGGAAGTCCAGAGAAGGGGGTCAGCACAGGAGAAGTCCTGAATGGTGGGAGTGTAGTAAGGTGTATAGAGGGGGGGTAAGGAGATGGGGGGCAGAGACAGTCTGGGGGGCGGAGACAGTCTGGGGGGGAGGGACTGGCGGAGTGTGAGAAGGAGGCGGAGGCAACAATGTATCATCCTTTGTACTTTTCTTTTCCCGCAGTGCAACTTCTTAAATCCACCGACCTGGGAAGACAGAGCCTGCTGTACCTGAAGGAGATTGGCCGGGGCTGGTTTGGCAAGGTGAGTGCGGCGCCTCCCTGCTGGTGATTCACAGTATTGCAGGCAGTTCTGATAAGACCGATACTATTCTCTGTGTTGTAACAAGAGGAAAAGTAAGGTTCCGCCTCATATGTGTCATGTATGTTGTATGTTGTATGGTCCAATGACACTTTCCTGCGATTGTCCCTTTTCATGAAGCGTCCGGCTAAAACGAATCTAAACTGTAATACACAGAAATACAATCATTATTTTATATGTGCGTTTATATTGTTGTAAAAGATACAGGCGGACCTCGGGGTACCAACACCGCGGTGAAACGTCATTACAGGTGGACCTCGGGGTACCAACGCCGCGGTGAAACGTCATTACAGGCGGACCTCGGGGTACCAACGCCTCTATAAACGTCATTACAGGCGGCCCTCGGGGTACCAACGCCTCTATAAACGTCATTACAGGCGGCCCTCGGGGTACCAACGCCTCTATAAAACGTCATTACAGGCGGACCTCGGGGTACCAACGCCTCTATAAACGTCATTACAGGCGGACCTCGGGGTACCAACGCCGCGGTGAAACGTCATTACAGGCGGACCTCGGGGGTACCAACGCCGCGGTGAAACGTCATTACAGGCGGACCTCGGGGGGTACCAACGCCTCTATAAAAACGTCATTACAGGCGGACCTCGGGGTACCAACGCCTCTATAAACGTCATTACAGGCGGACCTCGGGGTACCAACGCCTCTATAAACGTCATTACAGGCGGACCTCGGGGTACCAACGCCTCTATAAACGTCATTACAGGCGGACCTCGGGGGGTACCAACACCGCGGTGAAACGTCATTACAGGAGGCGGACCTCGGGGTACCAACGCCTCTATAAACGTCATTACAGGCGGCCCTCGGGGTACCAACGCCTCTATAAACGTCATTACAGGCGGACCTCGGGGTACCCGTGGTACCAACGCCGCGGTGAAACGTCATTACAGGCGGACCTCGGGGTACCAACGCCGCGGTGAAACGTCATTACAGGCGGACCTCGGGGGTACCAACGCCTCTATAAAACGTCATTACAGGCGGACCTCGGGGTACCAACGCCTCTATAAACGTCATTACAGGCGGACCTCGGGGTACCAACGCCTCTATATAAACGTCATTACAGGCGGACCTCGGGGTACCAACGCCTCTATAAACGTCATTACAGGCGGACCTCGGGGTACCAACGCCGCGCGTGAAACGTCATTACAGGCGGACCTCGGGGTACCAACGCCTCTATAAACGTCATTACAGGCGGCCCTCGGGGGGGTACCAACGCCTCTATAAATGTCATTACAGGCGGACCTCGGGGTACCAACGCCTCTATAAACGTCATTACAGGCGGACCTCGGGGGGTACCAACGCCTCTATAAACGTCATTACAGGCGGACCTCGGGGTACCAACGCCTCTATAAAACGTCATTACAGGCGGACCTCGGGGGTACCAACGCCTCTATAAACGTCATTACAGGCGGACCTCGGGGTACCAACGCCTCTATAAACGTCATTACAGGCGGACCTCGGGGTACCAACGCCTCTATAAACGTCATTAGAGGCGGACCTCGGGGTACCAACGCCGTGGTGAAACGTCATTAGAGGCGGACCTCGGGGTACCAACGCCTCTATAAACATTACAGGTGGACCTCGGGGTACCAACGCCTCTATAAACGTCATTACAGGCGGACCTCGGGGTACCAACGCCTCTATACACATTACAGGTGGACCTCGGGGTACCAACGCCTCTATAAACGTCATTACAGGCGGACCTCGGGGTACCAACGCCTCTATACACATTACAGGTGGACCTCGGGGTACCAACGCCTCTATAAACGTCATTACAGGCGGACCTCGGGGTACCAACGCCTCTATAAACGTCATTACAGGCGGACCTCGGGGTACCAACGCCTCTATAAACGTCATTACAGGCGGACCTCGGGGTACCAACGCCTCTATAAATGTCATTACAGGCGGACCTCGGGGTACCAACGCCTCTATAAACGTCATTACAGGCGGACCTCGGGGTACCAACGCCTCTATAAACGTCATTACAGGCGGACCTCGGGGTACCAACGCCTCTATAAACGTCATTACAGGCGGACCTCGGGGTACCAACGCCTCTATAAACGTCATTACAGGCGGACCTCGGGTTACCAACGCCTCTATAAACGTCATTAGAGGCGGACCTCGGGGTACCAACGCCTCTATAAACATTACAGGTGGACCTCGGGGTACCAACGCCTCTATAAACGTCATTACAGGCGGAGCTCGGGGTACCAACGCCTCTATACACATTACAGGTGGACCTCGGGGTACCAACGCCTCTATAAACGTCATTACAGGCAGACCTCGGGGTACCAACGCCGCGGTGAAAAACGTCATTAGAGGCGGACCTCGGGGTACCAACGCCGCGGTGAAACGTCATTACAGGCGGACCTCGGGGTACCAACGCCTCTATAAACGTCATTACAGGCGGACCTCGGGGTACCAACGCCTCTATCAACGTCATTACAGGCGGACCTCGGGGTACCAACGCCTCTATAAACATTACAGGCGGACCTCGGGGTACCAACGCCTCTATAAACGTCATTACAGGCAGACCTCGGGGTACCAACGCCTCTATAAACGTCATTACAGGCGGACCTCGGGGTACCAACGCCTCTATAAACCTCATTACAGGCGGACCTCGGGGTACCAACGCCTCTATAAACCTCATTACAGGCGGACCTCGGGGTACCAACGCCTCTATAAACGTCATTACAGGCGGACCTCAGGGTAATGACGTTTCACTGCGGCGTTGGTACCCTGAGGTCCGCCTGTAATGACGTTTATAGAGGCGTTGGTACCCCGAGGTCCGCCTGTAATGACGTTTATAGAGGCGTTGGTACCCCGAGGTCCGCCTGTAATGACGTTTATAGAGGCGTTGGTACCCCGAGGTCCGCCTGTAATGACGTTTCACCGCGGCGTTGGTACCCCGAGGTCCGCCTGTAATGACGTTTATAGAGGCGTTGGTACCCCGAGGTCCGCCTGTAATGACGTTTATAGAGGCGTTGGTACCCCGGTCCGCCTGTAATGATGTTTATAGAGGCGTTGGTACCCCGCGGTAAGCCTGTAATGACGTTTATAGAGGCGTTGGTACCCCGAGGTCCGCCTGTAAATGACGTTTTATAGAGGCGTTGGTACCCCGAGGGCCGCCTGTAATGACGTTTATAGAGGCGTTGGTACCCCGAGGTCCGCCTGTAATGACGTTTATAGAGGCGTTGGTACCCCGAGGTCCGCCTGTAATGACATTTATAGAGGCGTTGGTACCCCGAGGTCCGCCTGTAATGACGTTTATAGAGGCGTTGGTACCCCGAGGTCCCGCCTGTAATGACGTTTATAGAGGCGTTGGTACCCCGCGGTCCGCCTGTAATGATGTTTATAGAGGCGTTGGTACCCCGCGGTAAGCCTGTAATGACGTTTATAGAGGCGTTGGTACCCCGAGGTCCGCCTGTGTAATGACGTTTATAGAGGCGTTGGTACCCCGAGGTCCGCCTGTAATGACGTTTATAGAGGAGTTGGTACCCCGAGGTCCGCCTGTAATGACGTTTATAGAGGCGTTGGTACCCCGAGGTCCGCCTGTAATGACGTTTATAGAGGCGTTGGTACCCCGAGGTCCGCCTGTAATGACGTTTATAGAGGCGTTGGTACCCCGAGGTCCGCCTGTAATGACGTTTATAGAGGCGTTGGTACCCCGAGGTCCGCCTGTAATGACGTTTATAGAGGCGTTGGTACCCCGAGGTCCGCCTGTAATGACGTTTATAGAGGCGTTGGTACCCCGAGGTCCGCCTGTAATGACGTTTATAGAGAGGCGTTGGTACCCCGAGGTCCGCCTGTAATGACGTTTATAGAGGCGTTGGTACCCCGAGGGCCGCCTGTAATGACGTTTATAGAGGCGTTGGTACCCCGAGGTCCGCCTGTAATGACGTTTCACCGCGGCGTTGGTACCCCGAGGTCCGCCTGTAATGACGTTTATAGAGGCGTTGGTACCCTGAGGTCCGCCTGTAATGACGTTTATAGAGGCGTTGGTACCCCGAGGTCCCGCCTGTAATGACATTTCACCGCGGCGTTGGTACCCCGAGGTCCGCCTGTAATGACGTTTATAGAGGCGTTGGTACCCCGAGGTCCGCCTGTAATGACGTTTCACTGCGGCGTTGGTACCCTGAGGTCCGCCTGTAATGACGTTTCACTGCGGCGTTGGTACCCTGAGGTCCGCCTGTAATGACGTTTATAGAGGCGTTGGTACCCCGAGGTCCGCCTGTAATGACGTTTATAGAGGCGTTGGTACCCCGAGGTCCCGCCTGTAATGACGTTTCACCGCGGCGTTGGTACCCCGAGGTCCGCCTGTAATGACGTTTATAGAGGCGTTGGTACCCCCGAGGTGCGCCTGTAATGACGTTTATAGAGGCGTTGGTACCCCGAGGTGCACCTGTAATGACGTTTATAGAGGCGTTGGTACCCCGAGGTGCGCCTGTAATGACGTTTATAGAGGCGTTGGTACCCCGAGGTCCGCCTGTAATGACGTTTATAGAGGCGTTGGTACCCCGAGGTCCGCCTGTAATGACGTTTATAGAGGCGTTGGTACCCCGAGGTCCGCCTGTAATGACGTTTCACCGCGGCGTTGGTACCCCCGAGGTCCGCCTGTAATGACGTTTATAGAGGCGTTGGTACCCCGAGGTCCGCCTCTAATGACTTTTCTCCTCCGGATTACAGATCCGGTCTGTTTTGTGGGCCGGCGCTCCCCCGCGCCGAGGAGAAAGCACATCCGCCGCTGTTGTACCCTCACATTAGTATTTGCTGTGACTTTTACCTGCCCAGAAGAAGTAATTTCATCCAATTAAAGGGGCGGCTCCACCAATACTGGCGATTCGGTTATAGGTGGAATCTCAGGAGGGAGGGGCGGAGTCACTTTTTATAGTTTTTTTCTTTTTTTTTTTTGGAATTCGGTGAGATCTCCTTATAGGACCTCGTGGACGCCGGACGTTATAAGTCGCCAGTAGCGTTAGTTGTAGAATGCGGCAATAAAAAGGTTTTTTTAGTGTTTTTTCATTAACCTTTTTCAACATTTTTTTGTGTTTTTCAGCATTTGCATTTATTAGTGAAGTTATACTCCCACAAAATCTTCCGGCTCAAAAAGCTCATGAACTCCGGAGAGCTGCGTTTTTTTGCGTTTATCAGCATTAGAGCATTTTTACAGCTAAAAAACTCCTCTTGAAACTCGCTAGTTCCAGGATTTTCCAGCCAGAAAACGCTGATTAAAGCTCATGTGCGCATGGACACCGAGGAGAACGTGCCGGGGGGGGGGGGGGGGGTTACTGGCTGTAAAAATGTCCCATGTGCATGAGGACTAAGAGTTCTTGTCTATATATACACTATATTACCCCAAGTATTGCCCCTGCCCTCCATATCATGTGATTCAGGTGTTCCAATCCCCTCCATATCATGTGATTCAGGTGTTCCAATCCCCTCCATATCATGTGATTCAGGTGTTCCAATCCCCTCCATATCATGTGATTCAGGTGTTCCAATCCCCTCCATATCATGTGATTCAGGTGTTCCAATCCCCTCCCAATCATGTGATTCCAGTGTTCCAATTCCCTCCATATCATGTGATTCAGGTGCTCCAATCCCCTCCCAATCATGTGATTCAGGTGTTCCAATCCCCGCCATATCATGTGATTCAGGTGTTCCAATCCCCTCCATATCAGGTGATTCAGGTGTTCCAATCCCCTCCATATCATGTGATTCAGGTGTTCCAATCCCCTCCCAATCATGTGATTCAGGTGTTCCAATCCCCTCCCAATCATGTGATTCAGGTGTTCCAATCCCCACCATATCATGTGATTCAGGTGTTCCAGTCCCCTCCCAATCATGTGTTTCAGGTGTTCCAATCCCCTCCATATCATGTGATTCAGGTGTTCCAATCCCCTCCCAATCATGTGATTCAGGTGTTCCAATCCCCTCCCAATCATGTGATTCAGGTGTTCCAATCCCCTCCATATCATGTGATTCAGGTGTTCCAATCCCCTCCCAATCATGTGATTCAGATGTTCCAATCCCCCTCCCAAATCATGTGATTCAGGTGTTCCAATCCCCACCATATCATGTGATTCAGGTGTTCCAATCCCCTCCCAATCATGTGTTTCAGGTGTTCCAATCCCCTCCATATCATGTGATTCAGGTGTTCCAATCCCCTCCCAATCATGTGATTCAGGTGTTCCAATCCCCTCCCAATCATGTGATTCAGGTGTTCCAATCCCCTCCATATCATGTGATTCAGGTGTTCCAATCCCCTCCCAATCATGTGATTCAGGTGTTCCAATCCCCTCCATATCATGTGATTCAGGTGTTCCAATCCCCTCCATGGACACAGGTGTATACAATCAAGCCCCTAGGCATGCAGACGGCTTCTACAAACATTGGTGAAAGAATGGGTCGCTCTCAGGAGCTCAGTGACTCCAAGCGTGGTCCCGTGATAGGTGGCCACCTGGGCAATAAGTCCATCCGTGACATTTCCTGGCTACTAAATATTCCACGCTCAACTGTTAGTGGGATTATAACAAAGTGGAAGCCACTGGGAGTACATTGTACAGGTGCCCCCCCCCCCCTTGTTGTTTCTGGGAGTACATTGTACAGGTGCCCCCCCCCCCCCCCCCTTGTTTCTGGGAGTACATTGTACAGGTGCCCCCCCCCCCCTTGTTTCTGGGAGTACATTGTACAGGTGCCCCCCCCTTGTTTCTGGGAGTACATTGTACAGGTGTCCCCCCCCCCCCTTGTTTCTGGGAGTACATTGTACAGGTGTCCCCCCCCCCCCCTTGTTTTTGGGAGTACATTGTACAGGTGCCCCCCCCCCCCCCTTGTTTCTGGGAGTACATTGTACAGGTGTCCCCCCCCCCCCCCTTGTTTCTGGGAGTACATTGTACAGGTGCACCCCTAACCTTTTTAGGTTGAGAGAAGAGGTTCCGATAAGCCCCGCCCACAGACCCCCACAAGCACCAGGCCAGGGTTGCGGGTAGGGGGCCCTTTGGATGACTTCTCTTTCTTTGTAAATCTTTCTGTTGAACCCCTTCTGTGTCTTCCCGCTGCGCAGGTCCTGCTGGGGGAGGTGAATTCGGGGCTCGCCAGCACGCAGGTGGTGGTGAAGGAGCTGAAGGTCAGCGCCAGCGTCCAGGAGCAGATGCTGTTCTTAGAGGAGACTCAGCCCTACCGGTGAGTGCGCTGTAGTTTTTTTCCCCATAATCCCCTGCGGCCTCCTTTTTTTTGGCATCCTCTGACGGCGGCCTGTAGCTGCGTTTTGGCCTGACCTGTCTTCTGTAACTCGCTGTAATCTCGTAAAGCCGATTGTGATGATTGAGGAGGCGGTCGGGGCTGGGGCCGGGGGTCGGGGCTGGGGTCGGGGCTGGTGTCGGAGTCGGTGTCGGGATCGGGGGGGGCTGGTGTCGGGGCTGGGGTCGGGGCTGGTGTCGGAGTCGGTGTCGGGATCGGGGCTGGTGTCGGGGCTGGGGTCGGGGCTGGTGTCGGAGTCGGTGTCGGGATCGGGGCTGGTGTCGGGGCTGGGGCCGGGGTCGGGGCTGGGGGGCTGGGGCTGGTGTCGGAGTCGGTGTCGGAATCGGGGCTGGTGTCTGGTGGAGCTGGGTCGGAGCTGGTGTCGGGGCTGGGGCGGGGGGTCGGGGTCGCTGTCCTGCCTCCTTTTACTCCCAGAAGTCCTCCCAGAAGTCATTTGGGGGTGTTGGGTGGAGTCCTCTCCTCCATATGGACTGCTCTGGCCAGATGGGCTTTTCAGATGAGCTATTGTTGTCACCTCTCCATGTATTCCTGTGCAGGACCTGTAGGGGGCAGCAGGAGTTCTGTGTCAGGAATGGACGTCCTATAGAAATGCGCTCCATTTACAGACCTTGGCTGCCTTTGATGGGCGGAGCTTCAAGGAGAGGTCTGTAACTGGAGCCAATCGTCTCTTTTCACAGCCGTCTTGTGTGGTAACGAGCGTGAAAATTGCGATTGTCACGCCGTCCAACACGCCATACCGCCGGGCCGCGCCATTCATCAGGAGGAGCCTCTAGAGAAAGGAAATGCTTCACTGGCACTTGAGCTGCAGAGAGTCACCCGACTCCTCTCAGCAGCATCAGAACCCCGTCCTACTGCTTTCCTATTTTGATAAAAATTGCCCGGGGCTCCGCCCTGCTGTGAACGGCCAATTAAAATCCGCTTGTAACATTGTAATAAAAATCGCGGTCTCTGTTGCCCACATTTGGGACTTTGGGGCTGCAAGGCGTCTCCAGGTCACATGTCTCTGTGAAGTGCAGCCCCCCCTACACTGCGGGCCCCCCCCCCTACACTGCGGGCCCCCCCCCCCCTACACTGTGGGCCCCCCCCCTACACTGCGGGCCCCCCCCCCCACTCTACTCATAGAAAAGTCGGCTGTAGACGTCTTGTGATCGCAGGCCACAGGGGCATCCTGGCAAATACATGGTGAAGATATGGAGAAGAAGCTGGTGACAACACTGAGGGCAGAGTGAGGCTGGTGACAACACTGAGGGCAGAGTGAGGCTGGTGACAACACTGAGGGCAGAGTGAGGCTGGTGACAACACTGAGGGCAGAGTGAGGCTGGTGACAACACTGAGGGCAGAGTGAGGCTGGTGACAACACCGAGGGCAGAGTGAGGCTGGTGACAACACCGAGGGCAGAGTGAGGCTGGTGACAACACTGAGGGCAGGTTCCTGACACTCCACATAGTTTAGAAGAAAAGCCGCATACCAGACAGCGCGTCGCGTCACCTCCCTCCGCCGCGCCGCCACGTGCTTGTAAGGCTGCAGGTTACAGAAATCGGAGACAGGTAAAGGTGGGGATTCCCTTCTCTGATGTGTCACTGACTGGAAACAACAACTGGCAGAGCAACAGGCAGCAAGCACAACCCACCTACCTACTCATTATGAGGGGTTCCCACCATCCCTGTGCAGAGTTCCCGGGTCTGTACACCCACTGTGCCCATTATGAGGGGTTCCCACCATCCCTGTGCAGAGTTCCCGAGTCTGTACACCCACTGTGCCCATTATGAGGGTTCCCACCATCCCTGTGCAGAGTTCCCGAGTCTGTACCCCCGCTGTGCCCATTATGAGGGGTTCCCACCATCCCTGTGCTGAGTTCCCGGGTCTGTACACCCACTGTGCCCATTATGAGGGGTTCCCACCATCCCTGTGCTGAGTTCCCGAGTCTGTACCCCCGCTGTGCCCATTATGAGGGGTTCCCATCATCCCTGTGCTGAGTTCCCGGGTCTGTACGCCCGCTGTGCCCATGAGGGGTTCCCATCATCCCTGTGCTGAGTTCCCGGGTCTGTACGCCTGCTGTGCCCATTATGAGGGGTTCCCACCATCCCTGTGCTGAGTTCCTGGGTCTGTACACCCGCTGTGCCCATTATGAGGGGTTCCCATCACCCCTGTGCTGAGTTCCCGGGTCTGTACACCTGCTGTGCCCATTATAAGGGGTTCCCACCATCCCTGTGCCCATTATGAGGGGTTCCCACCATCCCTGTGCTGAGTTCCCGGGTCTGTACACCCGCTGTGCCCATTATGAGGGGTTCCCACCATCCCTGTGCAGAGTTCCTGGGTCTGTACGCCTGGTGTGTCCATTATGAGGGGTTCCCACCATCCCTGTGCCCATTATGAGGGGTTCCCACCATCCCTGTGCTGAGTTCCCGGGACTCCAGGTAGAGTCAGATGTTGCAGTTGGGAGATCTTGCTGTTGGAGGCTGTGCGGCTCCATCTATAAGATGTCACTTTTGGGGGGAGTTCTCCTTTAATTCCCTGTAGGGGAAGCGGTTCCCACATATCGGTGCGTTTTGCAGCCATTCACATTACAAGTGGTGAATAGATGGGCGCCGTTGGCGTGATTTGGCGTGGCGTGCTCAGCGCTCCGTTGCACAGAGTGGGAGTGGCGTTTGGTGATGTGAATGAGCCCCAATTATTGGTCACATGACATACATTGTATCTTTTCTCCGCCCCCAGAGTCCTCCAGCACCCCAACCTTCTTCAGTGCCTGGCGCAGTGTACGGAGATCACCCCCTACCTCCTGGTCATGGAGTTCTGCCCCCTGGTAAGTGGCGAGCACCCATTGGTGAAGAGACACAGGCGCCAATACATTCACGCCTTCCCCTGAACCCGAGCTCCGCCCACTCGTCTCATATATTGATTGATCGCAGTGCTCCTAGGGTTAGACCCGCCAGTGCTGTGCCTTAAAGGGACAGTAACCCAATAGTTGTCAGGTTGTGGCCATTGATGATGATTTGGCACCATTTTTTATTTTCTGCTCAGAAAGTGGACTGAGCTTCTGAGATCCGGACCCCCGCCATGCCTGACCCTGCAGCTTTCCGATCCCCTGCCCCCGCCATGCCTGACCCTGCAGCTTTCCGATCCCCTGCCCCCGCCATGCCTGACCCTGCAGCTTTCCGATCCCCTGCCGCCGCCATGCCGGACCCTGGAGCTCTCTGATCCCCTGCCTCCGCCGTGCCGGACCCTGCAGCTCTCCGATCCCCTGCCCCCACTATGCCGGACCCTGCAGCTCTCCGATCCCCTGCCCCCACCATGCCGGACCCTGCAGCTTTCCGATCCCCTGCCCCCGCCATGCCGGACCCTGCAGCTCTCCAATTGCCTGCCCCTGTCATGCCAGACCCTGCAGCTCTCTGATCTCCTGCCCCCGCTGTGCCGGACCCTGTAGCTCTCTGATCGCCTGCCCCCGCCGTGCCGGACCCTGCAGCTCTCTGATCACCTGCCCCTGCCGTGCTGGACCCTGCAGCTCTCCGATCCCCTGCCCCCACCATGCCAGACCCTGCAGTTCTCTATTTGCTTGCCCCCCGTCATGCCAGACCCTGCAGCTCTCCGATCCCCTGCTGGACCCTGCAGCTCTCTGATTGCCTGCCCCCGCCGTGCCAGACCTTGCAGCTCTCTGATCGCCTGCCCCTGCCATGCCGGACCCTGCAGCTCTCTGATCTCCTGCCCCTGCCATGCCGGACCCTGCAGCTTTCCGATCCCTTGCCCCCACCGTGCTGAACCCTGCAGCTTTCCGATCCCCTGCCCCTGCCTTGCTGGACACTGCAGCTTTCTTATCCCCTGCCCCCGCCATGCCAGACCCTGCGGCTCTCTGATCGCCTGCCCCCGCCGTGCCGGACCCTGCAGCTCTCTGATCGCCTGCCCCCGCTGTGCCGGACCCTGCAGCTCTCTGATCTCCTGCCCCCGCCGTGCCGGACCCTGCGGCTCTCCGATCCCCTGCCCCCGCCGTGCCGGGCCCTGCAGCTCTGTGATCGCCTGCCCCCGCCGTGCCGGACCCTGCAGCTCTCTGATCACCTGCCACACCCCCTCCATAGACTGATAGCACTGTTCTTATTTCCAGGGGGACCTGAAGGGATATCTGCAGAGCTGCGCGTCCTCCGAGTCCACAGTGCCGGACCCCCTGACCCTGCAGAGGATAGGCTGCGAGGTGTGCTGCGGGCTGCTGCACCTCCACAAGAATAACTACACACACAGGTCAGAGAGGCGATGCGATGCGAGGCGATGCGAGGCTTGGGCCGGGGCAGGAAGAAAATTGTATTTTTATATTAAAAATGATGTTCATGGTTACCTCCACCCCACGGGATTTGATATTGATGCCTTTTTATTACACCTTTTATTTTTTATTTCCTGTGTTTTCTTCTCAATTTTTGCATCTTCCTTTTCTTTTGCCCTTTCCCACTTTTAAGTGTTTTTTTTTTACTGTTAATTTTTTTTTGTAAATAATTTTCACATAATGATTATTAGTTTATGCATTTATTATTACTTGGTATTTTTTTCTTCTCCTTTTTTTGCTTTTTTTTTTCCTACCACTGCACTTTTTCAATTATCCCTTCTGTTTCCTCATGTATGTTTTTTTTTATGCCTTTCATACTTTTACACTAATTCATAATAATTCATTATATTTTCCCCTTTCTCATTTATTTATTTATTTACTTATTTCTTATTTATTGTTTTATATACATAGGGAGGATTCTCTGTATTTTTATTTATTATTTTATATATTATATTTTTTTAAATATTGTATAATATATATATATACAGTGGGGATGGAAAGTTTGGGCCCCCCAGCTAAAAATGTGTATTAATGTGCATAAAGAAGCCGAGGAAAGATGGAAAAAATCTCCAAAAGGCATCAAATTCCAGATTAGACATTCTTATAATATGTCAACAAAAGTTAGATTTTATTTCCATCATTTACACTTTCAAAATAACAGAAAACAAAAAAATGGCGTCTGCAAAAGTTTGGGCCCCCTGCAGAGTTAATATCTTGTACTGCCCCCTTTGGCAAGTATCACAGCTTGTAAACACTTTTTGTAGCCAGCCAAGAGTCTTTCAATTCTTGTTTGAGGTATCTTTGCCCATTCTTCCTTACAAAAGTCTTCCAGTTCTTTGAGATTTCTGGGCTGTCTGTCACGCACGGCTCTTTTAAGGTCTATCCATAGATTTTCAATGATGTTGAGGTCAGGAGATTGTGAAGGCAAAACCTTCAGTTTACGCCTCTTGATGTAATCCCCCGTGGATTTCCAGGTGTGTTTAGGATCATTATCCATTTGTAGAAGCCATCCTCTCTTTAACTTCAGCTTTTTCACAGATGGCATCAAGTTACCATCCAAAATTTGCTGAAATTTTATTGAATCCATTTTTCCTTCTACTCGTGAGATGTTCCCTGTGCCACTGGCTGCAACACAACCCCAAAGCATGATTGATCCAACCCCATGCTTCACAGTTGGACAGAGGTTCTTTTCATTCAATTCTGTGCCCCTTCTTCTCCAAACGTACCTTTGCTCATTCCGGCCAAAAAGTTCCATTTTAACCTCATCGGTCCACAGAACTTGTTTCCAAAATGCATCAGGCTTGTCTATATGTTCATTTGCAAAGTTCAAACGATGATTTTTGTGGTGAGGACGTAGAAGAGGTTTTTCTTCTGATGACTCTTCCATGAAGCCCATATTTGTACAAGTATCTCTTTATAGTGGAATAGTGACCACAACTCCAGTGTCTGCCAGATCTTTCTGGAGGGATCGTGCCGTCAAACGTGGGTTTTGAATTGTTTTTTCTCACAATCCTGCGAGCTGTTCTGTCTGATATTTTTCTTGGTCTTCCAGATCTTGCTTTAACTTCCACTGTTCCTGATGACTGCCATTTCTTAATGACATTCCGAACAGAGGATATTGACATCTGAAAACGCTTTGCTATCTTCTTATAGCCTTCTCCAGCTTTGTGAGCGTCAACTATTTTCAGTTTCAGTTTTCTAGACAACTGCTTAGAAGAAGCCATGGTGCTGATTGTTGGGGCAAGGTCAGATGAGTCGGGGCATTTAAAACCTTTGAGATTGACATCACCTGGTCTTCCCAGACGATGATTGAGAACAATCCATGACACTGGCAGGTCTCAGCTTGGCAAAGGGGGCAGTGCATGCTAGAAATTCTGCAGGGGGCCCAAACTTTTGCAGACGCCATTTTTTGTTTTCTGTTATTTTGAAAGTGTAAATGATGGAAATAAAATCTAACTTTTGTTGACATATTATAAGAATGTCTAATCTGTAATTTGATGCCTTTTGGAGATTTTTCCATCTTTCCTTGGCTTCTTTATGCACATTAATACAAATTATTTAGCTGGGGTGCCCAAACTTTCCATCCCCACTGTATATATAAATAAAAAAAAATTTTCTTATAAGTATAAACAAATACTATTGTTGTTTTTTTCATTTATATATAATTTATATAATAATATATATGCTTACTATTATATAAAGTATTTGTATATATTTTAATATGTTTATATTTATAATTATATATTATATACACATACATACATATTTTTTCTTTTTTTACTTATTAGTATACACAGATACTATGATTATTATTTTATAACTTTTTGAATACAATTATTATTATTTGCTTTAGTTTTTTGCTTGTTAGTACAAAGAAATAGCTTTTTTTTCATACTCCTTTTTTCCTTCGTTTATTCTCTTCTTTCTCCATCCTTTTTAATTCTCCCTTCTTCTTTTTCCTTTTTTTAACTTTTTCATGACTCATGATTTTTTTTTAAAGATTCTTTTGCTTTTACATAACATTTTTTAAAATTGCATTTTTTTTCTTTTTACATAACTTCTTTTGCATTACAATGTTTAAATTTTTTTTCCCTTTTATCTTTTTTTTTTTTTTTTTTTTTATAATTTTTTTTTAATGTTCATGCAATTTATAAAAGATCCCAAACTTTATTTTCTCTTCCGAAACCCAACACCCCTGACCCCTTCCCCGCCGCTATCATAGATCTCTGGTATTGTTGGGTTGCATTGGGATTTGTTTTCCTCTCTTTTCCTTTTCCCCCTCGTTCCCTCGTATATTTCTTCGTGGTATCAGGCACGCTCCCAGGACAGCCGGCGTTCCCCGGCACATCTCTGGACGCCTCTCTCGGTTTGTCCCCTGGAACAATATCCTGATGCTGACTGAGTAGGACATGCAGGCTCCAGCATCAGTGATTTTGTTGCAGGCGGCACTCCTGGCCGCCCGGACCCCGATGTGACTCTTTCTCCTGGCCGCCCGGACCCCGATGTGACTCTTTCTCCTGGCTGCCCGGACCCCCCGATGAGACTCTTTCTCCTGGCCGCCTGGACCCAATGTGACTCTTTCTCCTGGCCGCCTGGACCCCAATGTGACTCTTTCTCCTGGCTGCCCGGACCCCGATGAGACTCTTTCTCCTGGCCGCCTGGACCCAATGTGACTCTTTCTCCTGGCCGCCTGGACCCCAATGTGACTCTTTCTCCTGGCCGCCTGGACCCCGATGTGACTCTTTCTCCTGGCCGCCTGGACCCCGATGTGACTCTTTCTCCTGGCCGCCTGGACCCTGATGTGACTCTTTCTCCTGGCCGCCTGGACCCTGATGTGACTTTCTCCTGGCCACCCGGACCCCGATGTGACTCTTTCTCTTGGCCGCCCGGACCCCGATGTGACTCTTTCTCCTGGCCGCCCGGACCCCGATGTGACTCTTTCTCCTGGTCTCTATTATTACCGAGTGACATCAGAGTTGTAATCGGCTTATTAGCCCCCGAAGCCCTAATACCTCTTCCACACGGACAGAAGAGCCGCACTTTCATGGAGTAGGAGGAGATATTTTCTGCTGATGAAATAACTCATCAACTCTCGTCATTTCCTCCTCAAAGGGGAGAAGATGGGAAAAGTTATTCTATATGGCAACCAATGTGATGGAGGTCAGAGGTCTCCAGAGAAGGGTCCTGGTAATCCTCCATCACCCAATGACATTGGAGACAATTGAGCTCTTCCAGCCTTGTGGTAACAGTTTGGTGAAGACCCTTTTCTGTTCCCCCATGACTGTCCCCTGTGTACAAAGCCAGCTCCATAAAGACATGGATGACCAGTTTGGTGAAGACCCTTTTCTGTTCCCCCCCATGACTGTCCTCTGTGTACAAAGCCGGCTTCATAAAGACATGGATGACCAGTTTGGTGAAGACCCTTTTCTGTTACCCCATGACTGTCCCCTGTGTACAAAGCCAGCTCCATAAAGACATGGAGGACCAGTTTGGTGAAGACCCTTTTCTGTTCCCCCCCATGACTGTCCTCTGTGTACAAAGCCGGCTCCATAAAGACATGGATGACCAGTTTGGTGAAGACCCTTTTCTGTTCCCCCATGACTGTCCCCTGTGTAGAAAGCCAGCTCCATAAAGACATGGATGACCAGTTTGGTGTGGAGGAACTCCAGTGTCCTGTGCAGAACCCTGACCTCAACCCTACTGAACATTTTTGGGAAGGAACACCGATGGTGAGCCAGGTCTTCACTACCTGACCTCTCAAATGAGCACAATTGCCCACAGACAGCCTCCAATATCTTGCAAAAAAGCCTTCTTAGAAGGGTGGAGGATGTTGGAAGCAAAGGGGGGGGGTGGAGCTTCATATTTATAGCCACACAGGAGTTCAAGTCCATATTAAATGACCATGGGGGATAACTCTGTATTAATGGCCACAAGTGCACAAGTCCATATTAATGGCCATGGTGGACCAAGTCCATATTAATGGCTATAGTAGGCCAGGTCCATGTTAATGGCCATGGTGGGACAGGTCCATGTTAATGGCCATGGTGGGACAGGTCCATGTTAATGGCAATGGAGGACCAGGTCCATGTTAATGGCCATGGTGGGCCAAGTCCATGTTAATGGCCATGGTGGGCCAAGTCCATGTTAAAGGCCATAGTGGGCCAGGTTCATGTTAAAGACCATGGTGGGCCAGGTCCATGTTAATGACCATGGTGGGCAAGGTCCTTGTTAATGACCATGGTGGGCCAGGTCCATATTAATGACCACGGGGGGAGGGGGTCAAGTCCATATTAGTGGCCATGGGGGTCCAAATCCATATTAATGGCCACAGAGAGAGCAGGGCAACTCCATATTACAGGCCCTGTCTTTGGAATAAGATGCCAACAAGCCGAGATACGTGTGATGCCCAAGTATCCACCTACTTTTGGTCTTATAGAGTATATTCTTTTAGCCACTTTGGCGGAATGAGCACAAATTTCCACCAACACCCTCCAAAATCTTCTGGAGATCGTACCGAGAAGAGTGGAGGGCGTTCTAACCACAAAGCGGACATGGGCAGAAGAAATCAGGAGCCAAACAATCAGTTCAGAAGTCCATATATCCTTTATTCTTGGAAATAAAGTCCCAACCACTGGAAAATCAATAGCCAATGCATTTCAGGGGCTACAGAATCCCCCTTCACCAGAACTTGGGTTTGGTTACTGGGAATTCCAATATGGACTGTGATTACAAAGAACCTTCTGGATGGATATGTAGAACATGGGCCAATTTGCAGAGTTCAATGGCTGTATTATAGCTTCGCTGGACGTATTTCCTCAAATAGCTAGAAAGTGGTACAAGCCCATGGTTTAGGAATGGGATGGTCAGCAAACCCATATAGGTGTGATGGTCAGCTGTCCACAAACCTCTATCTAAGGTCTTCCATACCTTCTCATCAGGTGGTATCTGAGGGAGCCGTAGCATATTGTGTTTTCTGACTATAGGCACAGCAACGTTGATATGCCCATTCCCTTGAATTCAGTGCAGGTCTATGTCACGGCCAGGGTTCCGTACAGGACACTTGGGTTCCTCAACACCAAACTGGTCCTCCATGTCTTTATGGAGCTGGCTTTGTACACGGGGGACAGTCATGGGGGAACAGAAAAGGGTCTTCACCAAACTGGTCATCCATGTCTTTATGGAGCTGGCTTTGTACACAGAGGACAGTCATGGGGGGACAGAAAAGGGTCTTCACCAAACTGTTACATCAAGGCTGGAAGAGCACAATTGTCTCCAATGTCTGTGCATGATGGAGGATTACCAGGATTCTTCTCTGGAGACACCTGACCTCCATCATTTGGTGGTGGTGGTGGGGGGGGGGGGGGGGGCTTTTCACATACTTTTGAATGTACAGTTTGTGTGATGTTCAGGTGTTGACCAAATTTTGGCCATATTGTGTATTTGGGGAATTGGGGTTCGCTGGCTTTATCTCGTGCACCGAGCCATCCTCATGCTACATCAACAAAGTCTCCATTGCCCATAAAGCACCCAACAATATGATGGTTACCTCATCCAGCATTTGAGGACCTCATGCGGGCACCTGATGCCAACTGATCTTGGGCAGGAAATTGTGTTCATTCTTTCCTCCTAAGACAAGCCACCAGCAGATATTGGTTTCCTCTTTACCTCTCCATAGCCTAAACATGGAGACACGGCCCAGCCCAGCGTGCATGGTCCTGGAGCCACTGACAGAGATACATCCCAGGGGGAACTGTACCTGTACATCCTTGCACCCTAGACCCTCTGATGGTCCAGTATCTGAAAGCACAGTCCCAGCCTTCCAAGCCCCGCCCTTTGTAATTCTCCTAGAGCCGGGGTCTCCAAACTTTCTAAACAAGGGGCAAGTTTACTGTCCTTCAGACTTTAGGGGGGCTGTACTGTGCCCAGTGGGAGTAAACAATGCCTGATCTTTGGTATTACGGCGAGAAATAGTTGGTGTTAGTGGGAGGAATAGTGCCCCATCATTGGTGTCAGTGGGAGGAATAGTGCCCCATCATTGGTGTCAGTAGGAGGAATAGTGCCCCATCATTGGTATCAGTGGGAGGAATAGTGCCCCATCATTGGTGTCAGTGGGAGGAATAGTGCCCCATCATTGGTGTCAGTAGGAGGAATAGTGCCCCATCATTGGTGTCAGTAGGAGGAATAGTACCCCATCATTGGTGTCAGTGGGAGGAATAGTACCCCATCATTGGTGTCAGTAGGAGGAATAGTGCCCCATCATTGGTGTCAGTAGGAGGAATAGTGCCCCATCATTGGTGTCAGTGGGAGGAATAGTGCCCCATCGTTGGTGTCAGTGGCAGGAATAATACCTCAAGGGCTGGATAAAGGCAAGTAAAGGGCCGCAGTTTGGAGACCAGTGTCCTAGAGTGAGGTTGCACAGTGATGTGATGGAAGCTCCGCCCCCTGGGAGGCACCATGTAAAGCCTGCTGAAGTGCTCAGACTACAAATAGATGGAATGGACTTCACGTATCTATGTAATGCTTCTCAGTGATCTAAAATGGAAAATACAGAACTTTGTCACTAGATGGCGATGCGTATCATAAATAATTCAGATACTTAGCGCCATCTATTGGCCGCCGACATTTTAAATCATTGAAAAACATTCGACCAGCGCAGGGAATAGCAGAAGAGCGTTTGTTTTTCACGCAGACAGAATGAGGGAACGAGACTTTCTCTGGCCAAATCGCTTTGTAGATTTTTCTGTATAAATTCTTCTCTGCGATTTCAGTGGATTTCCGTGAATTGCGTTCACCTGGTTGCCTGCACTGCCTGAGGGTCTCCTGTGTGGCGGGGCATGCGGTGCAGCTCGGTATCAACTTCTCATTGTCTTTTCTTCCTTCCAATACTCAGTGACCTCGCTCTGCGGAACTGCCTGCTGACTGCCGACATGACGGTGAAGATCGGTGACTATGGGGTGGCCCATTCCAAATATCGGGTAAGCAGCAGCCAGCGGTCACCAAGCCAGAGGCAAGTCCAATGCGGCTGCACCGGAGCTAAAGGATGGTGGCTGCTCTGGGTAGTGCGCCTTAGACCCCGGTCACGACTTGGCATGCGATTTGCATGCCATGCGACTTGAGACACGCACCCTGTTGTCTGCAATTACAGCGGTCGTATCGATGCGATTCTGACTCGGTAGGAGCCGCACCGATTTCTAAAGCAGCGCATGGAACGATCTTCGGTGCGATTTGCACAGATCTCTGTGTCAGACGTCTTGCAAATCTCCCCTGAAATCAGAATCTCCTCCGACTTCACTGTAATGTCAGGATCGATGTGACCGGGGATCGATGTGACCAGGGATCGATGTGATTGGGGATCGATGTGACCGGGGATCGATGTGATTGGGGATCGGTGTGATCGGGGATCGATGTGATTGGGGATCGGTGTGATTGGGGATCGGTGTGATTGGGGATCGATGTGATTGGGGATCGGTGTGATTGGGGATCGGTGTGATTGGGGATCGGTGTGATTGGGGATCGGTGTGATCGGGGATCGGTATGACTGGGGATCGGTGTGATTGGGGATTGGTGTGATCGGGGATCGGTGTGACTGTGGATCGGTGTGACTGGGGATCGGTGTGATTGGGGATCGGTGTGATTGGGGATCGGTGTGATTGGGGATCGGTATGACTGGGGATCGGTGTGATTGGGGATCGGTGTGATGTGATCGGGGATCGGTATGACTGGGGATCGGTGTGATTGGGGATTGGTGTGATCGGGGATCGGTGTGACTGGGGATCGGTGTGATTGGGGATCGGTGTGATTGGGGATCGATGTGACCGGGGATCGGTGTGACCGGGGATCGGTGTGATTGGGGATCGGTGTGATTGGGGATCGGTGTGATTGGGGATCGGTGTGATCGGGGATCGGTGTGACCGGGGATCGATGTGACCGGGGATCGATGTGACCGGGGATCGGTGTGATTGGGGATCGGTGTGATTGGGGATCGGTGTGACTGGGGATCGGTATGATCGAGTGATAAACATCGCATGGTTTTGTGTGGATTGGACCTCGCGGCACGGCGCGGTTTTCAGGGATTTTTGACCTTTTTAATCTTGCATTAAGTATCGCGGAATCATTTATTTATTTTCGTGAACCGGACATTTTGTTAGCGCGGGCGGGAATTTCTGCAAATGAGTCATGTGACCGTGTTAGCGCATGTGGTGACCTTTAGTGAATTGACCGCGAAGTGCCCCAGAAAACGTATAAAAAACAAGTGTAAGGCGGCTTCACACCGAGGAGACAAACAATTCCCTGTGTATGTGAATGTACATCCGTGTATGTGAATGTACATCCGTGTATGTGAATGTACATCCGTGTATGTGAATGTATATCCGTGTATGTGAATGTATATCCGTGTATGTGAATGTGTATCCGTGTATGTGAATGTGTATCCCTGTATGTGAATGTACATCCGTGTATGTGAATGTATATCCGTGTATGTGAATGTATATCCGTGTATGTGAATGTACATCCGTGTATGTGAATGTATATCCGTGTATGTGAATGTGTATCCGTGTATGTGAATGTATATCCGTGTATGTGAATGTATATCCGTGTATGTGAATGTACATCCGTGTATGTGAATGTATATCCGTGTATGTGAATGTATATCCGTGTATGTGAATGTATATCCGTGTATGTGAATGTGTATCCCTGTATGTGAATGTGTATCCGTGTATGTGAATGTGTATCCGTGTATGTGAATGTATATCCGTGTATGTGAATGTACATCCGTGTATGTGAATGTATATCTCTGTATGTTGTCACACGGAGGCGTTGCGCTTGCGGTGTAAAATCTCCGTCTTGCAGCATCTTTGGAACATGTTTGGGGAGTCAAGAAAATCCCTCTTCCTATTGAAATCAATGAGAAGCGTCTGAGAAGCAGTTATGTTGCAATTTTAAGTCACATGTCCTTTAACAAACGCAGTAAAATGCAGTAAAAAGGGCTGTGCGTCTTTACGGCATCTTTGTGGCGTCTCTGCGGCGTCTTTACGGCGTCTTTACGGCGTCTTTGTGGCGTCTCTGCGGCGTCTTTACGGCGTCTCTGTGGCGTCTCTGCGGCGTCTTTACGGCGGCTTTGTGGCGTCTCTGCAGCGTCTTTACGGCGTCTTGTGGCGTCCTTACGGCGTCTTGTGGCGTCTCTGCAGCGTCTTTACGGCGTCTTGTGGCGTCCTTACGGCGTCTTGTGGCGTCTCTGCAGCGTCTTTACGGCGTCTTGTGGCGTCTCTGCATTGTCTTTGCAGCGGATGAGTGTGGAAGTAGCCTTAGCGATTTTCAGCCTCAGAGTGCGGTTAGGCCCCTCGCCGTCCTCCCGCAGACAGCCGCACGCGCCCCACCCCGTCGTCAGACGTTCCTGTTTCCATGCCGCACGCCTCTCGTCGTGTTTTCCGTAACCAAACACCCCAGAGCTGCGCCAGCTTGTCCCCGGCTTGTGGCGGCTGAGGCACCAAGCTGGCCAGATGAAGGGAGGGGAGGGGATGTTCCATCACAGAGCACGTCTCTGCCCCAAAGGGGAGGAGGGGACTCTGCTGTAACCTCTGTCAGGGTGAGTCAGACGTCGGCTGATCCTCCAGGAGGAGGAGGTTGGTTGGTTGGTGGGGGGGGGGGGAGGAGGAGGTTGGTTGGGGGGGGGACTGCTGAGTCGGAAGCAGCACAGGAAGGATTGTCGCTCTTGTCTGAGTCCCTGTGTTTGTTCCTTGCAGGAGGACTACCTGGTGACGTCCGACCAACTGTGGGTCCCTCTGCGCTGGATCGCGCCGGAGCTGATTGATGAAGTACATGGGAACCTCTTGGTGGTGGACCAGACCAAGACCAGCAACATCTGGTAGGACGGCCGGCTGCCTTGTTTGTCGCGGGTTCTCCCCATCCATGAGCTGGGTGGAGCCCGGAGACAAGCGTGCTTTTCTGTCCGCGGGCGCCGCCGGCTCGCCTGGCTTTCCGCCCCTTCTGCCTCCGGTATCCGGGGAATTTCAAGGATACGTCCCTGAAATGTTCATTTCACGCTTGATAAATCCCAATCCCAACCAATGTTAGGAAAGTAGAGGGATCTGCTCATGGCGGCCTTCTGCGATTGGCCGGAATCCACGCGCATTTGTAGCTTTGGTTTACTTGAGGTGATTGTAGCCGTATTGGTGCGCTTGGGACGGAAACAATTCAGTTCTGACGGGATACTTTTTATATTTGCACTAACATGCAATTTTGAGGACAAGCTTTCGGGTTCCCCTTCTTCAGGGTCCCAGCAGGACTTCTTCACAAAGTTTTATGTTAGGGGAGAAAAAAAACAGAAAAAAAAACAAAACAGAAAGAAACACACAAATGTGCACAACAATGGCCATAAAACTAGAGTTGGACTAGAGGCCAGGGGCGGACTGGCCATATGGAAACTCGGGCGCTGCCCGGGGTCAGTAGGGGGCCCCGTGAGATGCCCCTGGGTACCTTTTTCATAGCCTTTTTTGAGTTTGGGCAAGGACACAGGGGCCCCATGATCCCCTATTGCCCGGGGGCCCCATGAGTTGTCAGTCTGCCCCTGGATAAGACACAGCAAAAAAAAGTATCACATCAGTACTCAATTGTTTCTGTAGCTTTCTTTTAGAAACAATGGCGTTCTGTCCGGGATACTTCTTCATACAATTTCCAGGACCATCTTTCAGGGTCTGTCCCCCTCTTCAGGGTCTGTCCCCTCTTCAGGGTCTGTCCCCTTCTTCAGGGTCTGTCCCCTTCTTCAGGGTCTGTCCCCCTCTTCAGGGTCTGTCCCCCTCTTCAGGGTGTGTCCCCTTCTTCAGGGTCTGTCCCCTTCTTCAGGGTCTGTCCCCCTCTTCAGGGTCTGTTCCCTTCTTCAGGGTCTGTCCCCCTCTTCAGGGTCTGTCTCCCTCTTCAGGGTCTGTCCCCTTCTTCAGGTCTGTCCCCTTCTTCAGGGTCTGTCTCCCTCTTCAGGGTCTGTCCCCCTCTTCAGGGTCTGTCCCCTTCTTCAGGTCTGTCCCCTTCTTCAGGGTCTGTCTCCCTCTTCAGGTCTGTCCCCTTCTTCAGGGTCTGTCTCCCTCTTCAGGGTCTGTCCCCTTCTTCAGGGTCTGTCTCCCTCTTCAGGGTCTGTCCCCCTCTTCAGGGTCTGTTCCCTTCTTCAGGGTCTGTCCCCCTCTTCAGGGTCTGTCCCCTTCTTCAGGGTCTGTCCCCCTCTTCAGGGTCTGTCCCCTTCTTCAGGGTCTGTCCCCCTCTTCAGAATCTGTCCCCCTCTTCAGGGTCTGTCCCCCTCTTCAGGGTCTGTCCCCCTCTTCAGGGTCTGTCCCCTTCTTCAGGGTCTGTCCCCTTCTTCAGGGTCTGTCCCCCTCTTCAGGGTCTGTCCCCTTCTTCAGGGTCTGTCCCCCTCTTCAGGGTCTGTCCCCTTCTTCAGGGTCTGTCCCCCTTTTCAGGGTCCAAGAAAACAAAACAAGTACCCCGGACCGGACGCCATCATTTCTATCACACTAATGCGGCTATAATCACCTACTTTGTTATTTTGTTTCTACTTTTAAATGTTACTTTTTGTATTGTTTGTTTGTTTGTTTGTTTGTTTGCCAAAACAAATGTTGCCTGTGGTAAAGGAGCAGCCGATGTTTCAGTGGCCTCCGGTGAGCTCGGGGGTGTCAGAGCCCCCCCGCGGTAGAATAAATAGGGTTTCGGAATCCGTTTTGGTGAATTTGCCGCCATGTATTGCTGAGATCTGACAGTTTAGGTTCGCGGCGTTCAGCTACAGTGTTGATTTCTAAGTATCTGTCTGCTGTAGTTGGCAACATGCTAAAACTGTTTCCAGGGACAAATTGCTGCGGAATTGAGGCACCGAAGCAGCGGAGTCTCCGGCGACCGCGACTCGCCACCATCGCGCCGTATTTTACAAAATCGATTATAAGAATATTTTGTTGTGATTCCTTTTCTAGTAGAGCGGAACACAACCGGGTTCAGCCCGGGTTCACATGTATGTGGTGAACATGTGATCCGACTCGGCACATTGCGCCGGGATTTCGGGGAGCCGTTAACTTAAAACACAAAGCCGTTGCGGTTCGCATGAACGGGGTGCGATTATCATGCGGTGCGGAAATCACACAGCAACCGCTGCAAATTCGGCACCACATTGGTGTGATTCCAGGCTTAAAGGGGCAAAGCGCTTTCAGCCCGTGTTCACATACATGCGGTGCGGTAAATCCCATGTGATTCAAAAAAGAACTGCACTGCATTCCCTGCATCACATGCGACTTGTGTGCGGTGCAATGGGAGTCGTACATTTTGTATGGCCCTAATCACACTAGAATCGGATCGCACGGGTACTCACACCTATGTGATCCGGGTACTCGCACCTATGAAATCCGGGTACTCACACCAATGCGATCCGGGTACTCACACCTATGTGATCCGGGTACTCACACCTTTGTGATCCGGGTACTCACACCTTTGTGATCCGGGTACTCACACCTTTTTGATCCGGGTACTCACACCTATGTGATCCGGGTACTCACACCTATGCGATCCGGGTACTCACACCTATGCGATCCGGGTACTCACACCTTTGCGATCCGGGTACTCACACCTTTGTGATCCGGGTACTCACACCTTTTTGATCCGGGTACTCACACCTTTTTGATCCGGGTACTCACACCTATGGGATCCGGGTACTCACACCTATGCGATCCGGGTACTCACACCTATGCGATCCGGGTACTCACACCTATGCGATCCGGGTACTCACACCTATGCGATCCGGGTACTCACACCTATGCGATCCGGGTACTCACACCTATGCGATCCGGGTACTCACACCTTTTTGATCCGGGTACTCACACCTATGTGATCCGGGTACTCACACCTTTGTGATCCGGGTACTCACACCTTTGTGATCCGGGTACTCACACCTATGCGATCCGGGTACTCACACCTATGCGATCCGGGTACTCACACCTATGCGATCCGGGTACTCACACCTTTGTGATCCGGGTACTCACACCTATGTGATCCGGGTACTCACACCTATGTGATCCGGGTACTCGCACCTATGCGATCCGGGTACTCACACCTATGCGATCCGGGTACTCACACCTATGCGATCCGGATACTCACACCTATGAAATCCGGGTACTCACACCTATGTGATCCGGGTACTCACACCTTTGTGATCCGGGTACTCGCACCTATGTGATCCGGGTACTCACACCTATGTGATCCGGGTACTCACACCTTTGTGATCCGGGTACTCACACCTATGTGATCCGGGTACTCACACCTATGAAATACGGGTACTCACACCTATGCGATCCGGGTACTCACACCTTTGTGATCCGGGTACTCACACCTTTGTGATCCGGGTACTCACATCTATGTGATCCGGGTACTCACACCTATGCGATCCGGGTACTCACACCTATGTGATCCGGGTACTCACATCTATGTGACCGGATTCTGCACATCGCACCCCCTTTTCCAGACCGCTTTCGGGGTGTTGCTAACTTAACATACACACCCGCAGCGGTTCGCATGAACGGGGTGCGATTATGATGTGGTGCGGAATTCGCACAGAAACCACTGCCAATTCTGCACCTCATCAGAGAGAACCCGGGATGAGATCCACCGTCTTCACTTCCAGTGTTGCAGCATTATAAAACGGTTTCCAGAGACACATGGCTGCTGCTAAGAGGCACCAAAGCTGCTCGCTCTCCGATGAACGCGGCTCGCCACCAAATTTACATTTCTGTTGCGATGCGTTTCAGAACTGGACGCACCGGGATTGGATACGCTGTCAATGTTTCTCTCTTGGTGTAGTATGCAAACAGTTTCCAGAAACACATAACTGCTGAAAAGAGACACCAAAGCTGCAGGTCCTCTGCTATACATACCGATCACTGTCATACCCCCCACACTCCTCTCCTGTACATACCGATCACTGTCACACCCCCCACACTCCTCTCCTGTACATATACGATCACTGTCATACCCCCCACACTCCTCTCCTGTACATACCGATCACTGTCATACCCCCACACTCCTCTCCTGTACATACCGATCACTGTCATACCTCCACACTCCTCTCCTGTATATACCGATCACTGTCACACCCCCCACACTCCTCTCCTGTACATACCGATCACTGTCATACCCCCACACTCCTCTCCTGTACATACCGATCACTGTCACACCCCCCACACTCCTCTCCTGTACATACCGATCACTGTCATACCCCCCACTCTCCTCTCCTGTACACACCGATCACTGTCATACCTCCACACTCCTCTCCTGTACATACCGATCACTGTCATACCCCCCACACTCCTCTCCTGTACATACCGATCACTGTCACACCCCCCACACTCCTCTCCTGTACATACCGATCACTGTCATACCCCCCACTCTCCTCTCCTGTACACACCGATCACTGTCATACCTCCACACTCCTCTCCTGTACATACTGATCACTGTCATACCTCCACACTCCTCTCCTGTACATACCGATCACTGTCATACCCCCCACACTCCTCTCCTGTACATACCGATCACTATCATACCTCCACACTCCTCTTCTGTATATACCGATCACTGTCATACCTCCACACTCCTCTCCTGTACATACCGATCACTGTCATACCTCCACACTCCTCTCCTGTACATACCGATCACTGTCATACCCCCCACACTCCTCTCCTGTACATACGATCCTGTCATACCCCCCACACTCCTCTCCTGTACATACCGATCACTGTCATACCTCCACACTCCTCTCCTGTACACACCGATCACTGTCATACCCCCACACTCCTCTCCTGTACATACCGATCACTGTCATACCCCCACACTCCTCTCCCTGTA